AAAGCTCACGGTGAACAGTTCTCTCACTAACTTCGAGATGTTGGTATTTTTCTTCTAAAATAGTTTTCATTTCGGTGGCGGTCCTATAGTGGTTACTCTTGACGATCATTCCGAGTTGGCACTGCTTTTCCGGTGATAATTTTCGCGGACGGCCTGACCGGCGAATTTCTGGAATTTTTCCATTTTTTTTAATATGGTGACGTATCGTTGACGTGTACGTAATGGGATCCCAGTTCTATTCGAAATTTTTTTCGGAGTACGAACATTTTGCTTCCAGAGAAGTTAACGGCATTATGGTTGGCTTTAATAGGGTTCGAAGGCATTTTGCAAGGTAAAGTAGACAAAAAACACTGATGACGATCATTATTTTTTTTATTTACTTTTATGGTTGCTATATATCTATTTACGCGACTCAATGACAAATTAACATTATAAATGAACGTTTTAGGGTATTATGTAATTCAAATATTCGCACCATTACTTTCGCCGAGGACTGTATTTGCTTTAGTGTTATTAACTGTATTATTATTATTATAGTTTATTGATAATATAACATTTGATTCATAATGAGCAGACATAAGAATTGTTCATTATTTAAAAGAAATTTTATCAAATAACAACATAATTACATAGTTGTCGAAGTAAACTTGGTGATAAAGAATATTTTAAAAATTTTAAAGCTAGGTGAGTCATGCCTTTTCTTAGTTCCAAAAAAATGTCAGATAAATTAGGTATTAACCAAAATTATCGTTTTATTTGGAAAATTATTTTAGTTCTTTTCTGATTTAGTTTATTTAGTCTACTAACTTATTTTACTTTACGATACCGCAAAAAAATAAGAAATTATTTGACCAACAAAAAAAGGAATTTAGCAAGAAAGGTAATGCTTGCTTCAAGTCTTAACAAGAGAGAGGGAGAGAGAGAAATAAAAAATGTATAAAAAATGCCTAATCATTCGCTACGGAGAACTGTTTTTGAAGGGAAAAAATAGAAACGATTTTATTCAAAAATTAGTTGCTAATATTACCTTAGCTTTCCAAAAAAATAACTTTCCCAACTTTAATATCAAAAAACTATCCGACCAATTAATAGTCACGGCCGAAAATGATGAAGAATTGCCGAAAATGATTTCTCCCTTAAATAAAGTGTTTGGGATTAGTGTCTTTTATCTAGCTTATCAGTTAGAAAAAGATTGTGAAAAACTCTACAACTTTGTTAAGGAAATTACTAACTATTACCAAATTAATTTTACCACTTTCAAATTTGACATTAGCCGGAGTGATAAAACTTTTGTCAAAAATTCCTTAACATTACAAAAAGAGTTGGGGGAAATTATAATCCAAGAGAAAGGTCTAAAAGTCAATTTAAGCAGTCCAGAAAAAACTTTTTATATCCGAATTTATCGTAATTTTATCATTTTTTTTACTGAGAAAATAAAAGGTTTAGGCGGTTTACCAGTCGGCAGTTCCGGAAGAGTTCTGTTGCTTCTAAGTGGGGGGATAGATTCGCCAGTAGCTGCCTACCAATTAATGAAAAGAGGTTCGGAAATTATTTATTACCACTTTTATCAGCAAAAAGAGGGTCAAGAAAAAATATTTAAGTTGGTGGAAAAACTAAGCCCTTATAATAATTATTCTAATAATATTTATCTGGCTGATACCCAGACCCTTTTGACCGAAATTAGCCATATTAGCCAAGCAAAATACCGTCTTGTCATTTTAAAAAGAATGTTTATTCGTTTGGCTTGCTCCTTAGCCCAAGAATTAAAAATTAGAGCAATTGCGACTGGCGACTCACTATCCCAAGTGGCTTCCCAAACCTTAGAAAGTCTAGCAGTCATTCAACAAGTTAGTTCCCTAATTATATTACAACCTTTGATTAGTTATGATAAAAACGAAATAATTACCGAAGCACAACGAATAGGCACTTATAACCTTGCTCTAAGCAAATATGAAGATTGTTGTTCCTTATTTGAACCCAAGCATCCCATAACTAAACCAAGAAAAGAGGTAGCAGAAAAATTAGAGATGGAAAAAGGACTTTTTTGAAGAGAAGTTTTAGAGAGAATTGGTAAAAAAATAGAATTGCTTACGGTTTAGTTAGCATATTTTGGACTTAAAATTGATAGTTGTCGTGGAAGATATTGTTAAAAATATAAATATATAAAAGAACTAAAAAATGGTCAAAATTCGTTTAAGCCTCAAAGGTAAAAAAGGTCAACGCTCTTTTTGAATAATTGCAATTGACGAAAGAAGAGCCCGTGATAGCGGTAATTATTTAGAGTATTTAGGATTTTATAATCCCCGCAGCAAAGAAATAAAATTGAATAAGGATAGCATTAACAAATGATTAAATCACGGAGCCCAACCTACTGATACTGTACGCGATTTGTTTAAAAAACACCTTTAAAAGTCTTTGTAATGAGAGAGGGAAGGTTTGTAACCAGGTTAAAATCTTTTTTGTCTTCTCTTGCGAACAATTATTATTAAAGTGCTTAGGGCTAGGAGCGAAAGAACTAATATAACTATTGGTTTTACTAAACCATTCTTCTTAGGTTTTTCCTGCCCTGTGGCAGAAGTTTTCTTACTTAAAGCTTGTTTCAAAATAAGTTGTTGCATTTGGTAGGTAAATTCAGCTATTTTTTGCGGACTATCTAAACTCCTTAAATAATCTTTTCAATTATTACTTTCGCCGAAGTTTTTCGTGTCTAATTGCTGTCCCGAGATAGCATTGTCTTTTAGTAATTTTTCAATTTCTTGCTCGGCTTTTTGCTTAGCTTGGGGGAGCGAAAGGTTAGCAATTTCTTGGATATCTGGGGGCAATTCGTTATTATTTTCTCCCCTTTGGTTAGGAATGTTATTGGAGTTGTCGTCAGAACCAGATTTAGAATTGTTGTCTAAGTCGTCTTTCTCTGTTCCTTTTCCCCCATTTCTGTGGTCTGGGTATTCGTCTTGCTGGGTCTCGGGAATATTTTCTTTCTCGTCTTGATTATTTTTTCTTCATTCTTCCGCTCAATTTTCACGACACTTTTTCGAACAAAATATTTCATCCCTCCCTGTAAAAGAATAAGTAGTATATTTTCCTTCTTCATTAGCGGAGAGTTTTTCCTTACAATAATGACAATTTGGCAAACTTTCAGGGTCAAGGCCGTTCATCTTTTTTTCGAGTTTGTGGCGACACTGGGCAGAGCAAAAAATCTTTCCTTTGATTTTTCCTCATCCCTTTTCTTTCCAACTTTTTTCACCTTTTTCTATTTTCCCAACTTTCCCACAAAAAATCCCCACTAAGGACAAGGTAAAAAATATTGAAGAATTGTTCATTTCTCTGAATATTACTACTTCCGAGGAACATTTAGGAGCAATTTCACAATTATGTCAAAATAAACGGGGTATTTATCAGTCGCAAGATTGAAAGACCGGTTCTCTTTATCAATTAACTTATCATTTACCCTTTGCTGAATTTATTCTTGACTTTCATGATAAAATAAAATCTATTTCGCACGGCTATGCTTCTTTTGATTATCAGATAATTGGGTTTCAATCTAGTGACATTGTCAAAATAGATATTTTGCTGAATAACCAGTTAATTCCGGACTTATCTTTTTTAGTTCATCGGAGCTTTGCTTATGACCGAGCCAAAGTAGTATGCGAAGGATTAAAAACCACTCTTAACCAGCAAACTTTTACTGTCCCCATTCAGGCTGCTATTGGTAATCAAGTAATTGCTCGGGAAACTTTACCAGCCCTCAAAAAGCACGTTACTGGTAATATGTATGGTGGCGATAGAACCCGTAAAATGAAACTATGAGCCAAACAAAAAAAAGGTAAAGCAAGAATGAAAGAAATGGGTAAGGTTAGTTTTGGAGCTGGTAGTTTAAGAGAACTTTTGAAAGGGAATAAATAATAATTAATAAAATGTTTATATATTAAATTAATAAGCAATATGACAGAACTAGCA